CGATGTATGGAAAATTCTCTAGTATTAAAATTCTTATCTTCTTTACTTGCGTTTTACATCTGATGTTTTATCACAATATGTGTATTAATAGACCCATAAATGGGTATTAATTCTCAAATAAAGCAAATTCTCAACTGTTAGGACTTAACGGAACTGCTTCTCGTTGACGTTGAATTGTTCTCAACAATGTATCATCACTGGGTAGATTACCAGCAGCACTTAGTGACATGGTTCGTAAAACGCCGTGTATTACGTCTGCAATTAAATAAATAGAAGGATGTATAAAAATAGTATAAAATATACAAAAATTAAAAGCTGTGTACAGAAAAGATACATTATATGTAGAACAAGTTTACAAAATTCTTTTTTCTTCAGCTGTTAAGTTTTTAGAACGTTATCGACAGTAGGGCACTAGCAAATAAGGGGATATCTGTTTTCGCACCTGCATATCTTTCCCTTCTCTTTCTTTTCTATTGACGCGCTGAAACGAAAAAATGTGCCGCACATGGGATATCTTATGTGGAAAGAGATATCTCCTTATTCGCTAGTTCTCTAGTATAAATTTCCATCATCTATTTTATAGTCCAACAGCAGTAGAATTATATTATTTTCCTCAGTTTAACGAAATCATGGGTGTTGAAAAACAAGTACAAACTAATTTATTCTATTGGCAATGAAATAAAAAGATTATGGCTAAAAATCAGCTCTACTTTACTTTAAAAAGGAAAGCGTCGGTTTTACTTTTCTTTCGCCTTGATCTCACACTTCTTCATTCTACTTTATTTTCATATATTGCACATAATAGAACGACATGCGTATGAAAAGGATCTATTTTTGTAGATGGGTTATTATATTGAGACATCATTTATTCCATTTTATACTATTCTCAGCGAATCGAATTTGAGCTTTAAAAAGTCAATCAGATTTGAGCCCCGAAAATTCAGTTCGAGTCTGCGCTCATAAGGCCGAAGGTTCAAATCTCCCTGATGAAACTCGAAAAAATACAGTAACAGATGCATAAAAAACCAAAGTGATGCTAACCGTACCATTCACGATCGTCACAATCACCTGTTGCTCAGCCATTCTATAATCTTGTCACTATCCGTTATATTTCCAGGACTTGTTAAATTCAGTTCGCGTCCAATATTCGGGTACAAGATTGGCGTGTTGATCCAGTGAAAATTGCTTCCAACATCTGGTGTCATTCCACCGTACAGTGGTGGCATCCATACCTCACCAACGTTCGCCAGAGTGGACCACAGTGCAAACGATGATCCAGCATAAATAACCAACACATAGGGAGCATAGACCAGTTTAGCAAAGTCTTGCCATAGATTGCCTGGTGAAGGAATCACAACTATATCAGGGCGAACGCGGCTCAGATATGTTATTTGCGCTCGCCGTAGAGCGTCGCATAAGGAGGTGGTTCGCGCCTTAGCGTACACCTGATATAATATTGTCACTGCTTCCGGGACGCACCGAAACGCGCTGAAAGCCAACTGCCCAAACTCATCATGATCAAGAATGGTATCCCTTGAACAGCGGTCGAACACTACCATCTCAGAAGTATTGAAAACGGGTAGACTTTGATTATTAACTACTGCCCAATGTTCCATTGCGGATCTGGTATTCTGCTGTATCTGATCTCGAATATGATTCCATGCTCCAACACATTTATGTGCATATACCATGTTGCAATCAGGCCCAGAATCATAGCACATGTGACGGAATAGTTCAGGATAAGCCTTAACACATGA